CCTTAAGGCGCTCCTGAGATATCGTGTTCACAAGAATCGGACGGACGGACAACCTGATAACACAAAGCTTTCAGCTACACGCTGTAACAAAGCCAAACTAAGGTCAAAGATCAGAGGGCATCTTCAATTCATCCACATCACAGAGGCACAGTGAAGGTTTAGATGACAGTGTTACTGAGCAGCAGGAATAGCAGATTCTGTAAGCCAACAATCAGTAAAGCCAGACTCAGAATAGACAAGGGTCATATTGCAGAAGAAAAACAGCACATGATCTGAGAAGATTTCAACACAGCTACAGAACGTAAACAATCTTTGTAAACAAGACTGCCTCAGACAAACAAAAAGAAACGTACAAAGTTCAACTCAATAACAAACAGACGTTCTAGGTTCACCTACAACAAACTGCCTGGTAGCAACAAAGACTAACACTTCCCGCAAAACTAAATAAAAAAAATTACTTGATTTGTGTTTTGATGCACTGAGAAAGAGAGAGATGACTGATTTCAAAAGTGTTGCAGCAGAGTGCGTGAGCTCCGAGACGCCTCCCATCCCAACTCTTCCTGTCAAGTGCGTCTGGTTTCCTGTCCAGATCAAAGCTGCCTCTGTAAAAATCCACCTCTGTGATTTTAAAGCTCAACTAAGTTTAGAAACTATATCAGTGTGGCCTCGCCGCTGCCAGAGGGAACCTGTTAGTGATATCCTGGGGTTCATTCACTAAAGCCTCCCAGTGCCTCCATCAGTGGCCCTATCTTTAGCTGCTGTGTGTTTACATGTGATATGGTCCAATACTGTGATGTAGCAGGAGCTTTAAACAAAGCAGAAATGTTTTTGCAGTTCCTAAAAATATTGCGCCCTATTTTTAGCTGAGCCGAGCTGGCAGGGAATGATTCTTACTAATGACCCTGGTGGTAAATTGTGTGTGTGCGGTAAACTTTTTTTTTTTTAACGACATGCCCCACCCATCTCGAAAAGTTCGTATCTGTGTAGCCGCTGCCTGGGCACATGTGTCCGTTTTTATGCTGTGGAACCAGGAAGGAAACATACTGCAAAGAGGAAGGAGAAAGTTCACAACAACCCTTCCCTTCCCCTTCACTGCACAGCACCCACACACGTCTTTATTACCCTGATTTATTAACTGATCAGTGGATTCATTGATTTATCCATTAGAATTATGACTCTTTTTCAAGAGCTGTATTTCTGAAACTTACAAGTTCAGTATTGTTTCACATTATTTTTGTATAAATGGAAAAGTGATTTCTAACATCCCTGCTAGATTTGATCATACATATCTGATGCACACACAGCCGGATGTTTGTGTTCTCTCAGCTCTACAGTAACTTCACTCGTTGAAAGGAGGCAAGCATGAATCAGAGTTAAACCTGTAATTATTGAGCATGTTCAGAACATAAGCCCTGCAGCTATTTGGCAAAAAACACAAGATTCTGTCTGATGAAATGTTTGCCAAATGACTACTTATCTTATTAAGCAATGCAATGTTTACTGTGCATTTCCATACACTTTATATCACGGCACACAAATGACTCAAAAAAGGGGAGGAATTGCCAGCAAAGGGAGAATAGTGTTGATTCGCGTTCAATGTTTGCGTACGGAGATTTTGTTTGTTTATATGTTAGCACGTCTTGCCAGTGGATAGAGAAGGGTATGCTGCATGTTCAACAGTTGTAAAATACACAGGAAATGATTACTCACACAGAAAGAGGAAAGAGACTGTTACTGTTTGTATGAATCTTTTGACCCTCCTTTAAAATGTTGCCGAATGTCTATGCATCATCTCCCAAGACACATACCAGACTGAGTGCTCATGTTGAAACAAGGAAAAGAAAGAAACAGATAAGCTAAACTGTAAAGACTCACATATCAGATCATAAAATATTTTCTTTATGACTACCTAAATTGCCCAAAATGTTTTGAGCCTGACGTGTTCCTGCTTCGCAAAGAATCCAGTGTTTGTCCAAGGTTCTGAGTATTTGATCATTAGAGGCACCATGCATTAACCTGTCGTCACACCAGAGCACATTACCGGCGGTTTCTGTCAGTCACAGAGCTTCAGACAGTGCAGCCTTTCAGCACCACACCTTTCTTTATCATGCAGTTGGGGTCTCTACAACCCAAAACACAGGTCAAGGTATTTGCCGTCGAGATGCTGCTGAGCAGGTGGGGTCAGTCTGGGAAAAAATCCTAGAAAGGCTAAAAGACCCGGTAGACTAAGGGTGAGATTTAAAGCAAAAAAACTAGGTAAGGGGTTACTGTAACATGGGTTTACCTGTTTCCACTCTTCTACACCTTTGAATGAAAAGCTGTCATTCAAGTTGTATCTGCTTTAAGGCATGTGTTGACAAGCAGCCACACAGGTTTATGATTTATGCTCTGCAGGAGTGATTTATGGTGCATACCTCAGCTTCACAAAAATGTAGGTTGTGCAAGTGGAGATAACTCTTTGTGTTTTCAGAGAAGAAAGATGAGCCAAGATGTCTGACCCCACTCTGACTCCAATCAAGGCTTTCTTCCACAGTAAACTAATGAGCACGTGTTAGAAAACTAGAAAACAACCTTTGCTTGTAAAGTCAAATCAGATCTGATTTTCTTCACTGGCAACTTCCAAAAAGTGAGACTTTATGTTGAATTCTTTCAGTAACTTCTGCTGCTTCATTGGTGCGTGTCTTCCTTCACTGAGCCTCATCGTTCAATATAGTGAAATCTGTTGATATTACAAACAGGTCAAAACGTCTGTCAGGTGCCTCAGCCTCACACAAGCCGCTGGATCAGGAAACACATAAGGAAACGTAAGAACAAGGTGCGAAACCAAATCTCTTACCTCATGTCTCCAGCCAAGCCCAGTATCTCCTTCCTTTCAGTGTCCTCCGTCAGTCCTGGTCCCGAGCAGCCGTGTGAAGCGTGTCGCTCCCCGGTCAGTGTGACAGGCAGCAGCAGCTCCTCGGTGCAGCTGCGGACAGCGCTGCTGGAGGAGGGCGGTGCTCCGGAGTCAGTCACATCCCCCGAGCTGCTACCGTGAGTCAGGAGGCTCCAGACCCGACGAGCTCTCAACTCAAGAGACAGAGTTCACCTCTTCACTAAAGAGCACATGTGGGACATTTCGGCATTGTCGTCATGGACTACTTCAAAGTCCACCCATGTCTGAGGGCAGAAATCAACAAGCTTGTGTTCCTCAGTTTGAATTAGACCACCGGGCTGGTGTCGAGTTAGAAAACACACAGAACACTTTAACAACGTGTCCGCAGAAGCTGCTGTCGAAGCAGCACGTGGACAAAACCACTGGACAGACGCTGCAGACGTGTGGGGGTCAGGATGTGTCTGCTACAAAAAGTGAATGGTGCCACCTTGTGTCCAGACTTATAAACTGCAGATACTGATCTGGTTTAAAGGTCCAGTGTGTAAGATTTAGGTGAAAGAAATTTAATGTAGAATAATCCTCATGAGGTTTTCACTAGTGTGTTTCATAAGAATTGTACAAATTGTTGTTTTCTTTACCCTAGAACAGGCCCTTTATATATTTAAATGCATTAACACCAAGAGGACCCTCTCTATGGAGGCTACCATGTGTTTTACATTAGTCCAGACTGGACAAACTAAACACCTTTTGAGTTTTTATGACAACTGAAAATACCACAGGTTCTCTTTTTTGTTTGGAAGGGGAGGGTGAGGTGAGCGGTATTCAGCTGCAACATGCAACTTCACCACTAGATGTCACTAAATTCTACACACTGTACCTTTAAGGCAATATTTGGTATCAGGCCCTATTGAGACATGTCCAAACAACAAGAAATCATAATCCATAGCAGAAATTACCAGTTGCTTAATCAATCAATTGATTTACTAACAAATAGTTGATTGTCAATTGATTTTTAAGCAAACAATTTCCTGCTACCAGTGGTCAATTTACCAAATCAACCATTCTATTATTCTGACAGTAAACTCAGCAACTTATGTTACTTGCCTGTGTTCAGTTTTCACTATTTTCTGATATTTAGAAAGTAAACAAAACTGTAGCCTCACTGTATTCATGTTATGGGAAAAAAATGAATTTGTCTGAAGTTGTCTGACTTTACTATTAAAGCAGTTTGATAAAGCACAACCTTTCCATGACCAAACTAAGAAATAACAGTTATAAAGTTTAAAAGATAGATGTTGACACAAGGGTGCAAATGTCCAACACGTTTTAATTATTCAGTACATTACATATAATACTGTGTAAATGTGGACCCAGGCAGGTTGTTGGCTTTGCCCAGAGAGTCTACATGTCTGATCAGTCTGACCTCTGACCTCTGGTTTTCACGTGGACCCTTTCTCTGCATTTAGGTTGTTCCGATGTAAACAGATCAGTTATTTAGGACCTTCTATTTTACTTTTACTTTAATCTAGTTTTTATTGTCATATTAGTGCTTTTATGTGCAGTTTTCACGCGACACAGCTCTACATTTATTCATTTAATCTGACCATCTGTAATTTCTCTTTACTTTTCTTGTTTTGCTGTCAAAGCACTTTGTAAACTCTGTTTTTAAAAAGGTGTTAAATAAATAAAGTGTTTTATTATTCATTATTATTATTCTGTTCATCAGGCACTGAACAATTTAATGTGGTTAGCATAGTTAGTTAAATTTAATGGTGAACTTAAGTTAAAATAACCTGTTAATTTATCAATACTGTCACTTTCTAAATTTTCCAAATGAGCTATACTAGTCCAGCGGTGTGTTCTCACCTCATACACATGTGTAGAAATGATAGTTGTCTTTGTTCCCTGCTTGTCCTCCATTTAAAGTTTGTTTTACTAGTTAGCTCATGGCTAGTTAAGCATGAAGCTAACTAGCGTGAAGAGAGAGGATGCTGCTGTTGCTATGGTTTCACTCGCGCACTTACTCAGAGCGGTGGTTAAACTTGACCGGAACTATGTTTGAGGTATCCTGAGCACATGTGATTGAAACTTTATCAACACGTTGAAATGAACGGATACAACTTTATTTCAAATGTTTGGATCTGCACGTGTGAGGTGACGGAGACGCATCAGCTGCTGAGGTGGCGCTGACGCTGGTCCTCAGCATCACCGCCGCACCACACCCTCCTCACAGCGGCAGCAGCAGCAGCAGTGACCGGCGGCATGATGCGGATCTCCCTGCTGGTTCTGGCCCTCACCGCGGTCTGCGACGGCATCCTCCCCGAGATAGTGTACTCAGGAGTCGACCACATTCTGGAGGATCACTCGGCCCCAGGACAAACGGAGCAGGGCCGGGCGCTTGTGGAGGTGGAGCAGCTGCAGGATGCGACTCACCCAGTAGGCAGACATCCGCCTTTCAGTCCAGCTGTTTACATCACATTATCTCACTACGTATATATAGAGCAGGGAGATTATAGAAACATGTTATCAGTCTATATCGATCATTATCGTGTTAGGTTACGTTTAAAGACGAGGAGGTTTTAGCTGCTGCAGTGAAGATTGTGCTTTAAACTCTTCTCAAAACATGTTTCAGATCTGAGGTAGAACACTAAAACCAATTTTGTGTCGTACCTCACTGTGCTTACACCATGCAGCATAAGATAGATAGATACTGAGATAGATAGATAGATAGATGGAAAAGAGTATTGTGTTACAGCAGCATGTCAAGGGCATTGCCCATAAAGTGAAGTCAATGTAAAAAACATAAAATATACTAAAAACTGTACAAACTCCCTCAGTAAATTACACACACTAAAGTACTAGAATACACAGTTAAGTACTCAATATAATAGAACACAAAAAGAAGCACTATATCGATTTGTTGGACCTTTGTTATATTTGCTGTTGATTGAAATTATATTGCGAGAATTATTGATGTTGCTTTATTGCCCTGTCCCATATATATGTATATCTATATATGTAACAGTGGCAACAGTGGAGATAATCTGAATGTGAGAGTGACTTCTTAATGCATCTCTTCACTTCATATCTTTCTATCCTTTTCCAGAGAGACAACAACAGTGTCAGCCTGAGCCCCGATCCCAGTAACCTTCCTCCAGATCATCACAGTGAATCCGCTTCTGATAAAGTGATTGATAATGAATCTGTCCACACATCATCAGTAGACCGGGTACGCTCATAAACAATAAGTGACTATAGTGCTTGTTCCCGTTTGTGAATAAAGCTTAACAAACGTCTCACCTTCACACAGGAGAGCCACAACATGACCAGCACAACCGTCCCATACAGTGACCTGGGAAACACTATTGATCATGTAAGTTTATGCATGAACTGTATTTACAGAGAAAGAGAAAATCCATCTTTAAACACAACCCTCATTTTTACAGCTGACTGTAAAATATTTAACATGAAAACCTCGGCAGTGGTAGCAGATGTTAATGTTTATGTCTGGCAGCAGCACATCTGCTGACTTGGCATTATGAATGCAGGCATGACAATGTGCATTTCATGTCCTCAGTCATCTTTTGCCTGTGTGCGTGTGCATAAAATTAAAGCTGAAAATGCTGACATGCAGGTGCTTTGTGCATTGATTAAAATTATCACTGGGCAAAATTAAAACATTTTGTAAACTGAAATCCCCTCTCAGTTCTTATGTGTGTTGCTGATAACATAGACTAAGAAACAGGTTTTTACTGCAGTCGTACATCAGCCCAGTTTAAAAAGCAGCTTTCTGGTACCATCATTTAATGAACTTACAGTGTTAAGATAAAGATAAAACCTTTATCTGAACTGTCATGTCAAAATAATGAGAGTGACACAATCTAAAAAGACAGGAGAGGTGAATCATTATTTACACTTTAAGAGTCTGTCCCTGTTGCAAGAGGTAAAAATAGAACACCAGGTTTTCTGTGTGTCTTATAAGCTACAAAGAAACTTGGACGAACTAACAACTTTATCTTTTTACTGCTTTATTTTGCAATCTGGACAAAATGCTGCAATTCTGCCATATGTGCAGGACATAGAGTGCAAACTAGAATTGTGCAAAAATACTTCATGGGATACATACAGCATCATTTCTGGATAAAAGTATCAGACTATCAGGATATTGCTAGTGTTCTTAAAACTGTAAATATTGTGATTCTTAATTCGCTTGATGACCTGACTGCTGTGATTTCTGGTTCCCTAAGAATTATGGGACCGAAACCATGGCATTAGAAAAGGACCATGATGCACCCTGATGTCCTCCTTCCTCTCTCTTGTCTTTAGGGATGCATCACTGATGAGGACTGTGGGAAAGGAAAGTATTGCCTTAATGTCATGCACGGCTCCAAGTGTTTGCCTTGCAAAGCAATCGATGTGGTGAGTGAACCCGAGTTTACTTTTATAATGGCACCTCAGCTATTCTGATTGGTTTTCTCTAAAAGGCGCTCTTTCCCAGCTCTGTCACTCACACGCACACACACACACACACACGCACACTCAGAGTCACGTCAGCCGGCAGCAGCTGGAGTTTCACTTCAGCTGCATTGCAGTGTGTCTACAAGTGTAATTGGAGTGTGTTGTGGTGAACGCTGTGTCCTATGAGCTTCATCTGAAAGGAGAGCGCATGTCAAGGTTAAATCTCTCGAGCTTCCGTTCCCTCTTGTCTCACTCACTGTAAAAAACAAAGCAGTAGTAATGACAGTCTTTTCTGTAGAGACTCAGCTACTGGTTTTTACTTCAGTTTTTTATTTTATGATGTAGTTTTAATTCAACACATTGGTCTCAGAGTATCAGAGTAAAGAGCAATGCAAAGGGTTGAGATATTGGCAGTCTGACAGAGAACAGAGAGCAGGGATAATAAATACACAGAGGACAGGATCTGCGTCTTATCAAAAGTGCTGCACAGGAAAACTCTGCATGGAAATAATCATTTCTCTCTTCCTGCATTCAGAGACCGGCTGACCCACGGACTCATTAATTTTTAACCAAAGAAAGCAGCAGACACTGAAATGTGTGTTTCAGCTGTAAACTCAAGCTGAACACATGGTGGTTTTTTAAGTTTTTTTAATATTACTTTTGGGGCATTTTGCCTTTATTTGGAGAGAAGGGGGGGGGGGGTTAAAACGTGGACTGTATATAAAGATGGATGACACGTCTCCACTCCTTCCCACTATCCAGAAATGAAGACAAAATATGCTGGATACAAAGGCTGCCATCTTGCACATTTGGAGCAGGAGTCTGCACAGCAGCCCAGGCAGAGGAGTCCCTTTGATATACTGACATCCATGTGATATCATAAGAACAATCTGAAATGATAGAAACCATCTTTGAGAGTTATTTAACGTATAATTTGACTTTTTATTTTGGACCATTTATGACCTGTACTGCAGTGAACCGCCAGATGGGGATCAGGACTCTCTGGCTCTACTGTCAGGGAGCTCATATGTCGTCCAGCTTTATGTACAGTGTATGGGATGGACATGGTGCCGAGGCTACAGAGTGTTTCAAACCATCACGTTTGTGCAAGGCCAACGCTGACATAGAACTGTATATTAAAGTTTGAGCACTCCTCACAGCCCACCCCCACCTTCAATCTGAAAGAGAGCTCTTGATTGTCATTCTCCATGTTTTAGTTTTTTATAACTTGAGGATGTCACTGACAGAGACTATCACTGTCACATCAGCTCCACCTCCCTCGCCCCTAAACCAGTTTATAGCAGTTTTGTTTAAAAAAGTCTGCAGTGGGAAGATTTATGCTCAGAGCTGAGGTTGAAGTTACATTTTAATATCTTTAATAGTAATATTATATTTTTAAGTATTTCAAAGTTACTAAAAGAGTTCACTGAAATGTGGTGACACTTTCTTCTGTGCTTTCAGTCGTGCACTAAAGACGAGGAGTGCTGTGCTGATCAGCTGTGTGTGTGGGGTCAGTGCAGTCCAAATGCAACGAAAGGAGAAGCTGGCAGCACTTGTCAATACCAGACGGACTGCAGCCCAGACCTCTGCTGTGCTTTCCATAAAGGTACAGCACATCATATACATACTGCAGTATACAGTAAAGGTTCCATAAAGCTACAGCACATCATATACATACTGCAGTACACGGTGACAGCCAGTGGTGTTTTTTGATTTTCCCTACATCTGTCTGTCCCATTGTTGTGAACACAATATCTCAAGAACACCTTTAGGGATTTTCTTCAAATTTGGTTCAAATGTTCACTTGGAGGATGAAATGATTAAAATGTGGTTTCTTGATGATATCTCTAGTCTGCCTTTTGGGAATTTCTTCCAGTTTTTTACTCAAATATGAACTGATTACATTTTCTTGGTTTGGCAGAGGCCTACAACTGCAGGGCCGTAATTCTAGTTCTTTGTGTGTTCAGCCCTGCTCTTCCCTGTGTGCTTGGCCAAGCCCATTGAGCGTGAGCGATGCTTCAGTGCCTCCAACCACCTGGCGGAGCTGTTGTCCTGGGACAGTCAGGACAAGGGACCCAGGAAACACTGCCCCTGTGCAGGAGAGCTCCACTGCCAGCACCTGGGGTACGTACAATCAATGTAACAGAGCAGATCTAGTGTTTTCTTATTTTGCTCAGTGTCAAAATAAATCCAGAATATTAAGTCTGTGCAGTTCATGTTTTTCTCTTTAACCACAATGCTTTGCTCTTGTTTTTTAACAGGAGAGGGTCCATGTGTCTGACAGGAGAAGATTCCAGTGAAGAGGACATGGCAGACACACTGTACTCAGAGATAGACTATATCATCTAGACACAGCTTCATTTATTTCACATTGCCTTGGAAACAACTAGACTGAGGTCTCGACTTTAGAGCTTTGCACTTTCTGTTATCCAGCTCAATCCAAAGTCATCAAGTTATACCACACTGAAAGTAGAGAAAACTATTTATTTTATTTGCTGTAATTAAGACCTGAAGTTTTGAAAATGTAGATATAAAAGCCACTAACAAAGACAGGAAACTGTCTCGATACTTAACACTGGTTTATTCTATATACTGCAATTCTATATTTGATCGTAACTCTAATCCTCCTAATAAACACTGCACATTGATTACAACTATAAACACTGAGTGCATGGAGACCTTTCACCTCATTGTTTAAATTGAACATCACCTGCATGAAGCTTCAGTGGACCACGTGTATGAAAGGAATCTGTCAACATCTAGCTGCTGCCAGTGTACAGCAGTTTGTCTTTTTGTCATGAAAGAACTTTTCCCTCCTTTTACTTTTCGGCATAAATCTAATTCTGGCTGCTTGTTGATGTGTAGAGTTTCTTTTTTCCTGTGACACTTTCTCCTGTTATTTCTAAGTAATTCTTTTGGCAAACCTTGCTGCTTGATCCTCATCAAGCTGCTGTCATGTCATCACTGTCACGCCTGTGTTAGGCCTACAACAGCCAGTGGCCGGAGGCATTATGTTTTCAGGTAGTCAGTTCGTCCTTCCAATTCTCCTGAATGTGATATCTCAAGAACGCCTTGAGGAAATTACCTAGGATTTGGCACAAACGTTCACTTCGACTCAAAGATTAACTGATTTGATTTTTGTGGCTGGAGGTCAAAGGTCAGGGTCACTGTGACCTCTCAAAATACATGTGATCTGAATGCAATATCTCATGAACAACTTAAAGGATTCCTCTTAACTTTGGCACATATCACAGATTAGCTGATTCAATTTCAGAGGTCAAATGTCATGGATCTGGAAAACAAATGTATGTAAAGAGAAACTAGTTGGCGGAGGCTGGTCTACATCTGCCCTTTCAGCTCTTGTTTTACAATACAGTGTCCCCTCACAACACCCAAACATCTCTCCCTGTGTGTTATGTGCTCTTTGTCTTTCATGTATAGTAATTTGACTTGACATTTCAATATCTGGGGCGGAAGGTGCAAGTCACACCTGACATGTGAGTGAATATACTTGTGCTGTGCTTGTTTGTTTTTTTTAAACACCTATTCTTGAAATTGTGATATTTATTTATCATACATTTGACATGAAGTTGGAGACAAAAACAGAAAATTGTTAAGAAAAAAAAACACTTTAATAACTCTAAAATCATTTTAAACTATTTTCACACAATTTAAATCTCAAAAGAAATAAACATCAAAAAAATGTCTTCAGATATTGGCATTTCTACAGTGAATAGCTGGTGACAGCATCAGCCGCCCAGACGAGCCGCGATGCTGAGCTTCAGTCCCAGGAGCAGTCCCCTGGGTGGACTGAGGGGTCCAGCGGGCTTCCTCCACCCTCTGGTGTCAGTCTATCAAGCCCAGAGAGCTCCCACCCCTCGGTACAACACCACACATACACACACACACATGTAGATGACACGAGATGTACACCCAGTTCATATGGTGCAAAAAAAACCAAAACAAACAAATCCACTTTCTAAATTAAAGGTTAATACAGACAACAGATGTGTACCTGGTGCCTCATGAGACCTAATTGAATAATCAAGTCTGGAGCAAAAATAATAATTTACAACAAACAAAAACAAAACAAGGATTATCTTTACATGGTTGACTTGATTCATTGTACTTTGAGGTTAAGGATCAATAAGCCAATGTCTTATTTAATCTAGTGGAAGTGATGCAACAGTGGCAAAGTTCCTATAATGCACAATGAGCAGCAGTAAGAACCAAAGAAACGACACATGACTCTTGCATCATGGGAGATTCAGAAACAACCTCCAGTTTACAAAATTATTAATTGTTGCTTTTTTCTATTCATCAAATCTTGTGGATAAATGACACCTCAGCTGGTTGTAGAGTCACTGAGGTTGAGGTTTGACTCGACCAGAGGAAGTAAGACTGGGGAGGCTTGATAAGTAGTTCATGGTTGTGTGTCTTGATCAGTAAGGTGAACAATGGAGGAGAAGAATGATTTCTCTGCTGGAGCAAAAGGTGTGAGCAGTTGGACTTACAAGATGGTAACAGACTAATCGGAATCAACATTATGTCCGAAACAGGAAGACGTGGAGTGACGGTGGAGAGAGTGAAGGAGACAGATGAAGATGTAAAAACAGGGCAATCAAATTGGATGCGTGACTTCCAGCCCATGTTCACAGTTCTAACGTCTCCGCACCCATCCCTGCACCTGATTTTTCTGTACAGTATTTGATTCTTCTGTGTCGAATAGCTGATGTACTTCCCTTTAAACTTTACAGTACAATACACTATAGTGCACAATAAGGTTTCTGAGCCAGTCCGGGGGCTGCGGGTGGAGGCTGAGAGCACGTCTCGCAGCGCTGCTTGATGTTCACTACCAGGCCCGACGCTATGACTGACACCCAAAGCCTGGTTGCTATGCTACAGCAGCCAGATGTAAGTAACCAGGAGCGGTTCTCTGCACCTCAGTCCTGCCCCGGGTCTTTGGCAGGGCCTCCATCTATGTAGATCTTGAGGGCTTTCTCCTTGCGTGGCGAGTAGCTGACACGGTGACCGGTCTTCAGCAGACGGCTGCTCTCCTTCTTCATCAGCTCGTTGCGCTCATCCTCCGACAGCTCCATAGGCTCCTCAGTGCTATCCCTACACGGACAAATATCACAGTGATGTTGATCTTAAGTCCCAAATATTAAATACAATTAAAAAAAACAGGTTTTAAGATGGAATCCATCACAGTAGACAGTAGTTTCATGTCTTATCAATGTCTTTATCTAGGATCCGTGATCTGTACGGATCGACCCCCAAGGCATGTGAATCGCAGGTTATTTAAGTTCACAATTTCCAAGAGGTTAATTTAAAGACTAAAAATCCTCTCTTATCTAATCCCTATCATTATACCAACAAATGAATCCCTCCTATCACCAAACAGGTATGAACAACAATTATCATTCTGCTTATTAAACTGAATTATGTAAAACTCATTATATTTTTTTGGTTGACTTTCAAATAACTTTAACACTTGCATGTTTACATCTTTGAAAGGAAAATATTTTATTTAGTGTTAACTGAAAAGACAGACACTCAAACTTGTCTTGTGCAGAGTGTCTGTCTTTTCAGTTAACACTAAATATGAGTC